AGACAACCTCTCGTCAATATGCGTTTTTCGCATTGCATTGCTGCAAAAAACGCATAAAAATGAGGAAAATCCCGAAAAATCATTAATTTTTAGGAGAAAATAATGTATAAAGAACAATAAAAAGTCTAACCTCAGATGCCATTGAAGCAGATCTGCTATTAAAGATTCAATACAAATTCTCAGCACAATTCTCACCCGTTCGATTGCAACCAATCATTCATCACTACTAATAATATCCTGAAAACTCATTTAAAAAAAACTGCGCAAATTCAAAAAAAATAAAATACCATCAAACCACACAGATTACTCTGAAATATTCTTTCTTACGAAATACACGTGCAGAACGACGAAAACATACCAAAGAATAAGGAAATTTTATCAAATAATAAATTGGTCCAGTAAATGATACAGTAGAAGTAACGGATAATTATAAGAGCTACTGTGATTGCAATATACTTTTAAGTTGCTACTCGTTGGTCAGAGCAATAAGCCAAAATTTCGAGCAATAAACCTCTTCACTTACTCGCTAGAGAAGATAGAGGGATTCGGAACTAGCCTTAATGGTCGTAGGTGTCAAAAGCAACCAACTTTTGGCAATACTATCAAAAGTTTCCCCTTTTGACGATCGTCTATAAGCAAACTGATGCAGTTTTGATTTCTTAGCATATGCCAGTACCAATTTACCATCGAAACGAATGAATCGATCGTAGGAAGACTGGATGTCCAATGGCACAGTCGAACCCTCGAGATTCCGCTTGAGAAGTGCGCTGCCTGTTACAGCGCAAAACCCGCCACCTACAGCAATAAATAAAGAGAAGAAAAAAACAAAACCGATAAAGTAGAGGAAAATAAATGCTATCCACAAAGTAGAGGGAGATAAGTATGACCAAAAAAAATAGAAGGGATTCCATAATAAACTGCTTTCTCATACATTCTTAACATAAACACTGATGCATAAACATACAGACACACACAAACCCACATACAAATATAGATGAATGTGAAAAAATAAAATAGCCTTACAAAAACCAGAAAATTCTGACGATGCAAAAAGTAATGATAAAAACATAACTGATCGAACTAAAAAAAAAGTATGTAAAATATATACCACACTGCTAATAACAAAGCTTAAACTGCCGTTAAGGATCAGTAATCCAGGCTATCGGAGGCGCAGATCTATGCTTTTTTTTTTAGTATATTTCCAAAAACACGTATAACGGCTTTTTTTTTTTACAAATTTCTCAAAAAACGGCCGAAGCAAAAAATAAAAAAACTGTTAGCATCAGCAAAACAACCCAGTTTTCACTACTTATCTCAGAACCTCAAAAAAACTGATCAAAACCTCTCAATGACCTCTAATGAGAAGTCAGCTGTAACTAAATTAATACTGATTAACATCTGCTAACAACAAAAAAACGCAGTACATTTGCAGTAAAGTGTTCTGAGTTTCGTAACGTGGTCAGGAAGAACAGCTAGGCTAATTACGTTCAAACCACGGATAATAATAAATCAGATTAATGAATGGTACCTCTGTGATGTAAGAAGAGCACAGGCTATCGATACCATGGAAAGGTGATAAGCGTAACAGAGCAAACAACTGAAAAGTTACCAGTTACATACATCGATGGTCGAAAGAAGGCGTGACACGATGAAACAACAGCTGATCAAAGTATTTCAGAAGCCAAGCGAATGAAGTAACCAAAGGAATGTAGATTCATCTTGCATTCTTCTTTCAAAGAATGAAAAAAAAGCAAAAAAAAATGAAAAAAAAAACCTGAAAAAGCAGCTGAAATCGTAGTAACAATAAAAAGGCTGACAACTGCTACACAAATAACGATGAAACGATAGCTGAATGGAAATGTCAAGTACTGCAATAATGATA